GCCACACAGGGTGCTGTAGCCCAGCTTCAGCCCCGGCACGGTGCTTTGGCCCAGGTGTGGGTGCTTTAGCACAGGTGTGGGTGCGTCCACCCGTGCAGGGCTGCCTCAAGCCCAGGTATGGATGGTTCAGCCCAGGCGTAGGTGCATTGGTCCGTGGGGGGTGGGCGGGACCAGGCATAGCTATTTTGGACCTCACAAAGGTGCGTGAGGCATGGCATGGGCCCGTCAGCCCAGGAATGACTGCATCCACCCGTGCAGGGCTGCATCAGCGCAGGCACGGGGGCTTTGGACAGCCCAGGGGTGTGTGAGCCGTGGCATTAGTGCCCGTCCCAGACAGGGGTACATGGACCCCCCCCCAGGTGCATCGGCCGTAGCATTAGTGCCCGGGCCCAGGCGTGGATGCGCTGGCCCACGTATGGGTGCATCAGGATTAGTACAGCAGCCTAGACGTGCGCTACCAGGCACTGTCAGGAGCGACTGTCCATCATTAGGTTTCCCAGTGGACTTTTCCACCTTTGGCAGGTGTTTGAAAGAGGAATAAGGATGTTGTTCTGCTTTAATTTATGAGCAGCAGTGCTCTGAGATGGGTGTGTAGGCAGTTCGAATCTGCAGACTCCCCTCACTCTGCCAGGGTTAGATCCTTGGACCTGGTGAAGACAGCCAGGAGCGGACCAGCCTGCACAAAACATGCTCCTTGTTATGCCCAACTCATGGGATCAGGCGTTTTTTTTGCACTGGGTTACAGCATCCTGAGATGCTTTTAGCGTGTAGCAGGTGCTAACAGTCCTGACAACGGGCGCAGAGTAATGCGTGAGGATGTGGCCTAGAAAGCTCTGTGGCAGCCATCCCACTCGGGGTTGATGTTCTGTGGCCAGATATGGTAACAGGATGATCCCAGTCTGCACAGAGCAAAGCGTCTGACCCTATCGCGAGCGGTGGCCTCATATGTATGAAAATGCCCCTGAGACAGAGCAGTGGCAGCTCTGTGCTGTGCAAGTGTAAATCTTAAATTAATTCAGACAGTGGAGTCTCGTCTGCTGTGCTCAGAGGGGATAAAAGTGGCTTTTCAGAAATCCTGCTCTTAGCATTTTGCAGGGTATCTCTTGTGTTCCTGAAAGCGTGAAGAGAAAGCCAACTCTTTTCCACAACAGCTTCTAGAGATTTGACTTTTATTCCATCTCACACTGGAAGCAAAAAACCTTTGAATATATTCCTGAAACAAGCAGTGTCCAAAAGTCCATTTGCAGATAGGAAACCAGTTAGCAGTGCCTGCTAAGGACTCCTTTTGTCTCTGGAAGCGATAAGTAAATTTCCTCCATATATGAGAAAGCCGACCGTTGAAAATTTGTTCAGAAGCAGTGAAATATTTCAGTGTGGGAAAAATGATTCATTGAAATGTTCTGATGAGCTCAGTGCATCACCAGCCCAGATGAATCTACAAACCACCACCTCCAGCCACGCAAGCATGAAATGGAAGTTCAGGCATTGCAAACACTCCAGAACACTCTGCTTCCATTCATTTCTTATATATACAACTTATGTCCTAGACATGAATTAATAACTGGGTTTCTGTGACTTATTCAGCACTTTTGTCTCTTTCTGCTCACAATTCATGGTTTCTCTCAAATGTGATCGAATTATTTTGACAAGTGATTTGGCTTGTACTTGTGGTGAGGATTCCTAGCTTCTCTTAAATTGTGATTTGCTACGTGGTGCTGGTTTTGTTCCTTGTGGAAGGGCGTGGGAGAGCAGAAACAGCCTTCTCTCAGTGCTGCCCATGATCCCCCAGCCCCAAAATAGGGTTTACCCCCTCCCCCCAGAAGCACGCTGAGAGGATGCCTTTGCCCGTGGGGGAGAGGAGGGCTGCGGGGGGACATCCCCCTGCCTGCCCCAGGCCTCAATACCTGGGGGTAATTTGATGGGGCAGCAGGGCTCGGGGGACGTGTGTGGATGCGGATTCTTGTGCGGTGGGATACAGGACACCAAACTGCTGGAGAGCAGATGCCTCGTTCTGCTTCTCGGGGAGCAGCTTGCTTAAAGGCTTGAGTTTCCAGATGGACGTGGACAGGGAAGGTCAGGGATTGCGTGAAAGTTAGATGCTTTCCTGAGGAGTCCTGTTGCTTCCTCTGGGCTGAGAGCAGCAGTAAATAAGCCATTGTTTGATGTGGGTGGACGTCCAAATTCAGACAGTTGCAATTCCTCAGAGAAATAGCTGCCTCTGAATTCCTGGAAGAGATAGGATGGATTTGGCTAACTTGTCTTAATGTCACTCGTTTTATTTTCTGATGAGTTCTTTTCGTAGTGCGAGCTTGTTCCAGCCCTATTGAAGTTACTGATCATCTGCCCATTAGTTTCCTTGGTCTTTGGACCACATCATACTTTAAAATGAATGAACAGACCATGTCATTTGGAAATGAGAATTTAGATCTATTAGTGACGCTGAGCTGTGACCGCGTGTAGAGTTTCTTGGTGATTTGAGTTAGTGAATGTGACAAGGCGATGTGAAGGGTGAAGGACCACAACATTTGCTTCAGAAGCAGAGAAATTCAGGATCAGGAGTCAGGCTCCATCTCTTGTGGAATAAAAGTTGGAAGATGTTCCAAATGTGGCTGGAGAATACCCTAGATGCACACTTGGGTACTGTCTGGCTAGTGATAGATCTCTGAACATCACTGTCAGTGTAATGCCGCTGTAAATAGCTGTATGCCCCCAGGAATGTGGTGGGGAGGGAAGAAGTCATCCACAGCGTTGTCTGCTATTCAAACACACCTGAGGCTGGGGTGAACAGCCCGCAGTGGCAAAGGGACAGGGAAAACATACATCTGTGTGCTATATTTAATTCCAGTGCTGAAGCCAGGACATTGCTTTATAATGCTAAGATCACTGCTTGCTTTGAAAGAGGCTTTCAGAGAACCAGATACACCCCGGTACTCAGGCGGTGGTCTTCCTCTCTCAATGTGAAACCTCCGTAGGCAGCAACAGACCGAGCTCCCATCCAGCCCCGTCATCACATTCCCTTTCTGTCTCATTTCAATTTGTTTTCTAAGGCCAAATTTTCAGGCATAACAACTGCATCGGCAAATGCTCTGGCTCTTTCTGTCCCTGGCACACCTCGTGTAACCAAGCTGAGTTACCCAATCTGCCCCTGTAATTTCGGTGTTTTGTGTCACGCGCAATCTCCTTTTTACCACATTAATTGCTGCTCATTTGAAGGCATAATAACCTTCATTTTGCAATGAATGGCTTGACATTCCAGGAGGAAAGCTTATTGTGCACTAACGATCTGTTATATCGCCTCTCAGTTTATTATGGTATGTAATGGAAAATAAAATAAAAATTAAATATCGTGTGTACTTATCAGCTAATTTAAATAATTCAGTATCTCAGATGTTCTATCTTTTCAGCTATTGAATAGTGCTGTAGTCTGCATTAAGAAATAGCTCCCCATAGATTTAGAAACATCTCCCTATTTTTTTTTTAAACTAAGCTGGTTTTGCTTGGAAGAAATGCCATCTAGGAACTAAAAAATGCAGAATTTATTCAAGAAGGATGGTTTCTCTTCCTGCCTTTCTTGCCTCAGTTTTTTTATCTGCTCTGTGGAAATAACTGAGCCTGTTACGTTATTTGGAGAGCACTTTTGAGATGCTTGTCGGGAAGATGCATTACAACTGGAAAATATTGTGTTTATTACAAGGAAAAGCCCTTGCAAAGCAGAACTGAGTCACTTTGGTCAGTTTGTAATTTGCAGACAGTTTTACTGGATTGCAGTGGCTTTTTACATAAGGAAAACGTGCTTGTAGGAGTTCTTATAGCGGAGAATACAATGAACTACATGAACTCGATTTAGTCCTTAGGTAGATTTCCAAGGCTGCACCTTCCATAAACCAGGGTTGTGCTGCAGCCGCTGCCAGTGGACCTTGCCTGGATTATGCCCATTTGGTGCTTGCTGTCTGAAATCCTGTAGCCTGAGCATCCCCCGCAGAACTTAGTGACCAGTGTCACGATCATGAGATTCATATCCCCACTTCTAATCAGGTATATAAAGTGTCTGTAGGCAAATATCCACCAGCAAAGGCAGCTGGACCCGAGCAAGGCTGGTGTATGCAGTGATAGCATACGGGGGTGGGGTGCACTGTGCGGTACCAAGGATGGGTGTCCTTCTCCTCTTCTACACTTGCTCATCCCGCTCCTTCCAACCTGTAAATCGCATCTGTGTTTGAGGTGCATGTCTGGATTGTCGGATGACAAGGTATGGAAGTCACAGGCTTTTGCCCTGCTGACCTTTCCCGTTCCCTCCTCAGCCTGGAGATGCAAGACCTGAATCTTCTTCGCTAACTCCTTGGTTTCGCTGCTGTGCTGTGGTGAATCTGCTCGTTATTTCATAGATAAAGTCAGAGCATCCAAGACAGAAAAGTCTCTTTTTCCCCAGTACAGTCTGCCAGGGTGATGTAGCAAGATATGTGTCATCGCTGCTTTTCTTGTGTTAGTGCTATGGTTGGAATAAAAGAATAACAGCATGAGGAAGCCAGCTTTCACCAGGACTATTGAAGATCATTTCCGTGAATGCTGAGATAACCCCCCTTTCTAAGATCTTTTCCTCTGCTAATATAGCTTCAGAATAAACCACAACATATGTTGTAATTGAGGTGAAATTTCTCCAATTAGTATTGCTGCTCAGCTGTTTCAAATCTGGTCTAAGAAACGGCTTCAGGCTTTTTCTCTCTCCTTCTAGGAATGTTCTCCATATGCAGCTCACTTGTACGATGCCGAGGATCCTTCCACCCCTGTGCGGACGATACCAGGACTTTGCCAAGACTATTGCCTGGAAGTGTGGCAAAAATGCCGCTCCATTTTTCGCTATCTCTCTGCAGACCAAGAGTTAATTGCACTGGAGAACAACATGGCAAAGTTCTGCCGCTACCTGTCCTTGGAGGACACAGACTACTGTTTTCCACACCTCCTGACTAACCAGAACCTTAACCAAAACCTGGGGTTAGTGACCGCTGACACAGAGGGCTGTCTCCAGCTCTGCCTCATGGAGGTTGCCAACGGGCTGCGCAATCCCGTTGCGATGGTGCACGCCAACGATGGCACCCACAGGTTCTTCATTGCGGAGCAGGTTGGGCTGGTGTGGACCTACCTCCCCGATCGATCCAGGCTCGAAAAGCCATTTCTGAACATCAGCGAAGCTGTGCTTACCTCACCTTGGGAAGGAGACGAGAGAGGTTTTCTAGGTATTGTCTTCCATCCTAAATTCAAATTTAATGGTAAAGTGTATGTCTACTATTCAGTTGAAGTTCGTTATGAAGAGAGAATCCGAATCAGTGAGTTCAGAATTTCTCCTGCTGACATGAATGCTTTGGACCATGGTTCTGAAAGGTATTGTACACATGTTTCTCTGGCAAATGTATTTGAGATCTCAGAGGGCAGCTTGTGCATTTTTAAAGGCTGTTAATGAATGAGACTTACTTAGCTTAATATTGTTCTTGCGTTCCAGTGTGGTAGCAAGTTAGTCCAAGTCCATGTCTAGCTTACTGAGACAGAGAATATGCTTGTCCTCCGTGGATGAACTGCGAGTGCTCAGGGATAAAACATTTATGTTTCTCAGTTCTGGTATGTCAGCGGATTTAAGTGAACAATGATTAAACATGATTTACAGTTAGTATTTTGGGGCTTGGGTTTTGGTTGGGTTTTTTTTTTTTGGTATTGTAATTATTACCCTTTAAAACAGACCCTCAAAGCATGAGTGAAATTTATTCCAAAGCCAAAGGTTTCCAAAATCAGTATAAACAAACTCAGGGATACAGGGCCAAAGATTGATTTGGCCCCACATTTCTTGATCTGAATGACAGCTCAACCCTGTGATATTGCAAATTTAATACCAAATTAAATAAAATGCAAACCACTATGCTATTACTGACTGCATTTTGATTGGAAATTGCATTTGTTTGAGTCTGATCCTGCAGTTGATCCACATTAATATGCACGGATAATTAGAGGTTTGTTTATGGAGACTATAGATTTGTAACCTGGTGCAGAACCGCATAATAGAACCACTGTTTTAAGGGACCCTTGAATATTACTAATGTTAAGATTTTTGCTTTGTTACATGGGTTATATAAGGGCTTTCCAAATACTCGGCAGTGGGTGATTCTAGCTCAAAAATGCACGTAGCCTCATGATAGGAAGGGGTTGCTCGTTTATAAAGCAATGACAGCAATTCGGTGTAAGCAGCGCTGTAGATGACAGGTAAGGGGAATTTAAACGTGGTCCTCAAGAAAGCAAGTCAGGAGCTTAAACCTGCAGATGTCAAGGCCCGTGAGCTGTCTTGCTTAAAAATCCTCAGGCTCTACTTTTGTAACATTTTCTGTGCTTATTTAGCTGACGGTTAGTACAGCGAAAGCTTAAGAAAACAAAATTGTGGCCCTGTTGTGCTTGTGTAGGCACAGCTCCCGCTGACTTCATCCTGAGATGCTGCCCAAGAGGCAGCTTCAGCTGACACGTGGTGTGCGTTGCCTTAGCAGGAAGGCGTATGTCTGTTTGCCTGCAGATTTTTGCTCAGTGTGTTTTGTTTTCTTCCATCTTTTTGGGGAGGTTGAGGAGGATTCGCCTTTGTGTCCGTACAGGATTCTCCCCTCGCTCCTGCTGCCGCTGGAGTCTGTGCACTCGTGCGCAGTTGCTATCTCAGAAGTGGTGATGTTTAGCAGCAGGTGACAGAATAATTACGTAGTTGGATTCCTTCCCACAATTTACAGTCCGATCACAAACTATCAGTACTTTCAGAAGGGAAAAAACCTCACTAAAAATGAGGTGGTATACGTGATTATTATAATTTGGTTTTGCAGCTATTAAGAGGCACTGTCGGCATGAAATCTGGACTTTTTTAGAAGCTGAGTAAAATAAACTTCAGTTCTTACACCTGGGAACCTCCACTGCATGTATTTGTGGCTTTACCTTTCTATAAAGTTATACTTCTATATATTTCACCCTTTTCTTACTATGAAAGGGGTGCCAGGTGCGTAAAATAAAGAGATAAAAGTAAGAGAGAGTTAGGTTTTAAAATGAAGGTAAAGGTTGTTGGTACTGCTTTGAATAACCTTTGTCAAAATGTTAATTTGTTGGTGGGGCTGCTTTTAACCACTCTTTAAGCTTGTAAAGTCCTGTGTATGTAATTATCATTTAAGGATTCTTCTCTCTTTAAGAATTTAACTATTACTTAATGTTTGAAAAGTTTTAGGTTCACCTTGAATGCGCCTGTCAGGATTGTGCCAAATGCTGTACAGATGCACAGATGGGCTGGAGTCCTTTCTCTTGCAGTTTACAATCGGATTTAAGCCGAGATGCCTTTTCTTTAAAAAAATAAAAAAAAAAAGGAAAAAAAAAAAGTAGTTTAACAAGGAGGAAGGAAGAATCAGAGGAAAAGTACAATTAATTAAAAGTGTATCCTGTCATGTGATTTCCCAGATTTTCCTTATTACACAATTTGGTGTTCTTGTAATCTGGAAAATATGTTGGAATTATTTAAGGTTATAAAATCAATTATGCCCAAGTAAAATTCAGTAACATGGATATGGAGGAATTTGCATCAAAACTGATCTGTAGCCACTTCCATGTGTCAAGGGCAACATTGGAGTGATGCTGCTCTGCGCTTTGCTTAGGGCTTGTGCTGTAGGTAACGCCTCCTCCCTGTTTTCGGTTAGGATAATCCTGGAAATAGAAGAACCTGCTTCCAACCATAATGGAGGAGAGCTGCTCTTTGGAGATGATGGGTATCTCTATATATTTACTGGAGATGGAGGCATGGCTGGGGATCCTTTTGGGACCTTTGGAAACGCCCAGAACAAGTGAGAGCCCCTAAAACCCTGCGTGCACCGTGTGTGCCTCCTGTTGCCCTTGGGTTGAGAAGAGAAACTGGGGGAGGTAAATTGGGGAGGGGGGATTTTCTGTCTCGGGTTTACTTTTTACCTAACGCCTGCACTGATCCTTGTGCACACATGTGGGCGTGTAGACCTCCCATGTAACTCCAGTTTCCTTAGGAAAGGTTGTCAAGGTGTGTCTTTTTCCCTGTGAGCAGCAATAGCTTGCTGAGCCTTCCAGCTGTCTGCTCGGAGCCCAGTTTTCTGCAAGTTGGGGGGGGGGCCCTGAAATGGGAAGTGTGGACCCATCCCTACGGCAGCTGTAAGCCATGAGCCTGCGTCCATGGGGCAGTAGGTCATGGGAAGTCAGTGCCGCCTGAAGGCTGTTCAGTGGCCTGGGGCAAATGAAATGGTTTTGAAATGGTGGTTTTTTCAGAGATACTTAAAGGCTTGTCTTTTCCAAACCAGAAAGAATGAAACCCTAGACTTTCCAAAATCCCATCTCTGAGCGAGAAGATATGTTTATAGAATCATAGAATC